AGAGAGGCTCTCCCACACAGGACTACAATTTATCTGTCGACTCTTCCTGCAGTGTAAAGTAAAACTGTCAACAGCCGTGGACCAAGCACTCGTGGTAGACTCAATTCCTTCGATCTTCCGGAGACTCTCCAAAATGGGATAAAGGAATACCCCTTCCAAATTCACTTACTCGTGTCCTAGCTACTCACATTGGACGTGCGCACAATGTTTACTTTCCCCGGAAGCTGGGCGGCTGTAGACTCCAGTCCGAGTGGACTGCAATAAGGTTTGACACAACCTCTCCATTTCTGCTCAAAATTCCTTCGATCTTTGGTTCGCAAGGATTCGTTGACCATGAAAATTCATCTTGTTCGGTTGCCATCCCAAGGTACCTGAATAACGGTTTTTGGGCTCGATCCGGAAGTGCCTGGTGGAGATCTGTAAGAGAACGCAAATCCACCCTCATGCAGCTGCTTCTTCTTACACCCCATTGGATGGGAGAGAGGGGTGATCTCTACCAGGTCGTACAACACCATGTGAAGTTTGCTATGAGAGGCTCGGGTTATCCTGCAGGACGGTCTCCTACATACAACGACCCTGCAGGTTAGCTGTTTAGGATATCCTTCCTTGGGGCATCCTTCCTGTCCGTCAGGGATATGTTCCCGCGCGCTGACAACCTTCCCCGGTTGCACTCATCGCACGTCTGACGATTAGTCTGCCGTCACGTTGTGCACCCAACGTGGGATCACACCGAGCTTTCCATGTGCATTGGCACTTTCTTGGTTTCTGAGCGGGACTGCTGCCCTCAACGGTTCGGCTACATGCCCCGGGCTGGGCATATCAGTTCTCGCGTGCGTCGTCACACGCAAATGCACGGCACAAGGACCTGAAGGGCAGGCATGCACATCCTACCACAATGCCCCACTCGCAATCCTGCCTCGAGTTTGTCCGCGATCAGCGGGTCGCTTTCGACACTGGTACTTCGTACAGGACCCAAGCAAAGCAAAGCCAGTCGTTGTCCCTGGCGAGTACTATGGCACCCGTGTCGAGCCAGGGCGGAGTGGATGGAAAGGGGGACAAGTCTGGACGAACAAAACAGTCATCTGGGCCATTGGTCCTCCGGGCCCCCCTCCACCACGGTGTTAGACAGCCGGACCCTTCTTCAGACTTGCATCTCGGCACCGGCGCGCAATGCAGCTGTACATTACTGCTGCCGCCGTTGATACGGATCCGGAGGGCAATGATGAGAAGTTCACGACGACTGTTATACCTCTCGCCGCGAGGGCTGACGTACACCAGTTTATCTGGTGTTCGGGCGTTTTTCTCGTCTTGGTGACAATATGGACTGGTCTGCGGATCTATTCGAGGAGGATAAGGCGGTTGCCTCTGGCTATCGAGGATGCTTTGTATCACGTCTCTGTGGTGAGTAGTATTCCTGCTGGCTTGCTGATTGGCATCCATCGGCCTTGCGCAAGGTGCTCTTGCTCATGTCATTACTCCGTTTAGGTTTCCTTCTTCGGCTTCGTTATCGCCTTATTCTTAGGTGAGTCGAGTATAGCCCTCTAGTTAAGTATTAAGCACGTATTGAGTTGTACACTACAGCACTGTACCTTGGTGGAGCAGGTCAGCATATGAGCAAGCTAAACAAAAGCCATATCGCGAGACTTACACAGGTCAGTCCATGGAGCTCCCAAAGCCACTAGAAGCCGCCCAGCTGACATATACACGTATATCACAGTCTTTCCTTGTCATACAAGCTCTTTACGGCCTGTCAATGTGCACCGTGAAATGGAGCATGCTTTTTATGTTAAAGCGCATCTTCGCCGTGAAGCCGTTTGAGGTCGGTACTCTTGTGTGGACAAGCAACAAAGGTCCAGCTAGATCTCACTAACTCTGCTTATATTCGCTCAGATCGTGACCTGGATCATCATCGGCCTCCAGGCCGGGTGGCTCGTCATGACCGTACTGATTGGATTCCTCATCTGCCGACCTGTCCAGAAGAACTGGGACCCGACGGCGGAAGGCACATGCGGCAACCAGATCGCTGGTTATACTGCTGTTTCTGTGGTCAACGTCGTTGTGGACGTCTTGATGCTGTTTCTCCCCCTGCCTATGGTCTACAGGCTTCAGACGAGACCAGGCTACAAGGTCGGCTTGTTTGCTATTTTCAGCATCGGTATAGTGTAAGTGTCGTTGCCGTCCCGTACCGGCCTTCCGTCCGAATACCTCGTGGCTTTCAGCTCGCTCGGTGTCCCCATTCAGACAAAATCCACTATAGACTCGTTCCCTATGCTTACCTGATATTTAAACAGAACCATAGCTTTCTCCGCCGTGCGTCTGACATCTCTGAACTCGATCGACTTCGGAGACTTTTCGTATACCGTCATCCCAGTCATGACGTGGACAACAGCCGAAGCCGGGGTCGCCATACTGGTTGCGTCGTCCGCCCTCCTGCGGCCTGTATTCGACAAGCTGTTCCACCGCATTCTTTCGTTGTCATCAGAAAGGACACCCGGTGCCTCGGGTGGCTCAGCACCTTACGTGAACAGCCAGTCGAGGATGAAAGGCAAGCAGCGGAGGGAGTTTGTGAACGTCGGAGAGGTGAGTAGCCCCGGACCTGGTCCACACATGTACCAAATGTGGTGTGAAGGCACCATCTCCCCTATGAACGCCTCAGTTCCACCAGATGGCTGACTTATGTTGATACTGCAGTCCGAAGAGAGCTTCGAACTCGAGGCAAGGGGTCCTCGCACCGAAATCCATGTCGGATCGAGACGCAGTAAAGGTACCCTTGACGCAATGACAGCGGCGGCCGGTGGATCTCCTGACAGGAAGGGGGGAATGACGATCGTGGTTCAGCAACATGTCGAACAGACATATGAAGGGAGAAGTGCCTGAGTAGAGAAATGGAGTTATGTGTACATCTCAGACATCGCATGGTGTAAACGGCTTTGGGACATGGCTATGATGGGGCTTCTACCATCATGTGGGCACTCTATGCCCCCTGCAGAGGCGTCACATCAGCTCACTGCTCATCGGAGCACGACCGTCACCAAAGCTCAGCTGCCACGGAGGTGCAGTCGCCCTGTGGATCAACGGTGATGATGGAGATCAAGCAGCTCATGGATGAGAAAAGGGGCGCCGAGCCCATGAGCGTGGATGCCATCACCCCCCCCCCCTCTTCCGAGGAGATGGGTGAGAGGTTGTCTCTCTGCTCCGCCTGGGGCAGAAGAGATGCCCTTGCCCTCTCTAATTCTCCCGTCGCCAAAGTGACGGAATGTTTGTTCTATTCTAAGAAAGGAACATAAAGTAAAAAATAATGAAAATTCTGGCTGGGCTTGGTCTGGTCGTTTTCATCACCTCTTTTCTATTTGATTTTCCAAATTTCAACACCTGATGTCAGCATCGCCACTTGCGCTTTGCTGCCCCTGAAACATTGGGAGCAAGATCGACATTTGTGATGTGGTCACCGGTCCAGCAACATCGACATTGACAATCGACTTCCACCGGAATGCTACACCATCAACGCTCTTTTCCGCATCACCGAAGAAGCGCAGTCTAGCGAAAAGCCCCTGCCGGGCTTGACCTGTTTCACCAAGACCGCTGTATATCTCACTGCACACCCAGACATATTTCCTGTTTCCCATTGTACTGTCACTGATTCAGAGGCAGTCCTCGACCATGTCAATAGTTGCAGACTTCCCGACCAGCCCCAAGTTTTCGACGTCAATCTCATGGACATGGACTACCCCACTGGCAGCCCAGTACGATGGGTCTTTATGGCAGTACTCTGATCTCTAGCATGGACCCCAATTTCTTTACGCCCAGTAGCTATGACCTACTTCCTGGCATCGGCTGAGGCATGCAGACACACGTCTCCCAGAAATTGCGTCTGTGGTCCGGTGTGTGCGCCGGTGCGTGACTCTTCGCCAGGTCTTATATCTAATTACCCTCTGAATTTCTTCCTCAAGGAAGGGCATACCGGCCTCAGACAGGATCCCACCAGTCTCAGTCATGGAGCATACGTGGTGACCCTAGAGGGCCATATTTTTGAGCCCATTGTCCAGGCGAGAACTTGGGATCGGACACGAAGTTGTGCCTATGCCTCGTACTCTTCGATCGTGAACGGTATCTGTCGTTCCCCTTCGCCCCACTGTGTAACTTCTCCGTCCGGTGTTGCGGATAGTGACATTTCGTTTCATACACTACCCTCATCTCAGTCCCCGTACCCACCCATCTTTCTCAATGAAATGTCTCTGATCGAGTTTGAACCAAACTCCTTGTGAGATTCGAACTCACGCCCGTAAACGCTGCGGTTCTGAGAGAGATTCAAACACAGGGCCTTGGACCACTTGCTCTCGCGCCTTGATCACTCCTACTATTCCTAGGTGCACCACTATCTCGCTGTCCCTGCTACGGCTGCTGACCATGATCCTGTTCTCTGTCCACATCACACCAGACCACACGAGTTAAAAAACAAAGAGATAAGGAACGACAGTTTGGATTTGAAGCCGAGGCCCAATTATAACGAACACAATAAGGACACGCACGAGTACAATATATTGCGCAGGATGGTGATGAACCACGCTAAGTAAGCCAATCCTGCCTTCTAGGCCACACCCTCTGATTGATCAGCCAGTTGCTCTTAATACCGGTCCCCACGACGCCCGCTTATTACTGTAGCATTATATCATACTTGGAGGGCGTGAGTATATTTTCTTACTTCTCGTTGCCAGCACAGGTGCCAGTGGTATCTTCCTTCTCAATACGATACTGGGTCTGTCTAGGGACAAGAGGTAGGTTACCTTGGTGATAGTTTTCCTACAAATAATAAACACAGGTCATGACTTACATAATTCTTTGATTTCCGACAAAGCACACAAGGCTGACCAGAGGTGGCATAAGTTAAACAGACCAAACAGTAAAAGTCCACCAACAATCAACTATAACTCTTGGGCGGGTGATGCTACATATGCCAGAAAATTGAGAGTGCATTACGAAATCGAGAATGAGTTTCTACAGGTGCGATGGCCGAGTGGTCTAAGGCGCTGTGTTTAGGAGAGATTTATCTCTCTCAGAACCGCAGTCTTCACGGGCGTGAGTTCGAATCTCACTCGCATCATTCTCTTCTTTTGCCTTTTGCCTTTTGCCTTTTGCCTCTTGCCTCTTATTGTCTTTGTAAATTTAACTCTTTTTTGCTCCTAGTTTTCTCCCTTACTTCTCTAAGCTTTAAAGGAGAGCTAGGTAGAGTTATAAGTTTTAAAGATAATATTTTTAGTAAATTATTTAAATAATAGTTACTAGTTAAGAATAACTTCTATATTATATTTTATGATATTAGAATAAAGCTGATAATTTAAATATCTAGTATTAAATTCTTTTATGTATGTACTTATCCCATTTTAAAGGAAACGTTTGTAAAATACAAGCTGTGATGATTACATTTCCTCATGCTAGGTCTACAGCTTGTCATTTGATAGCCTGCCTGCACCTTGTACTGGAAACCCACTGGGCGTGCAGCACTCGGGACGGTGCGGGGCCAGCTTCCAGGCTAAATAGGCGCGATTGCAGGTCTACCCCAAAATGTGCCCGCAACTTTTGGAGGAACGAAATTCGATTCCTACTTCATCGCAATTCACATGCCAAACCACCACAACAACCATGGCGTTCGACGACGACGACGACGACATCTCAACACAGCGCCCGGCTGAGTCGCCCGAGGATGCGCAAGCCACCGCCGAAGAGGCTCTCGAAGATGAGACGCAGGACTTCCGCCACTTCACAACGCTGCAGCGCAAGAAGAACATCTCCGTGTCCGCCATCCGCAAGGGCGAGAAGGACTTCGAGTCGCATGGCACCAAGTCGCAGGCCAGCGCGCTAGAGAAGAGCCGGCAGGCCATGGAGGAGGTCCTTGGCTACACGCGCGTGCACAAGAGTAAGGACTGGGCGCGCGGCTGGTACTTCCCCGACCGCTGGCTCGAGGACGAGGTGTTCGAGGGCAACGAGGTCAAGACCAGGATTGTCAACGCGGAGAGGAGGGAGCTGCACGCCCAGGAAAGGGTCGTCTGCGTCGGGTTTGAGCACAAAAGCCTGGGGAGGAAGATTAAAGGGCAGGGCACTAACAAGCCCGGCTGGGACCAGGTGTGGCTGCTGGCAGAGGAGGCGCTCTTTCTGATCGAGAGGGGCGACCTTGATCTCTGGTGGCCCACAGCTACCATGGACGAGGTATTCCCACTCGGCAGCGAGGGAAAGGGTGCAGGCGCAGTATTGGAGGCTGAGAAGGAGGACGAGTATGCACTTGGCTTCCCGCTCAGTCTGCAAGCTGCGTACGCCCTGCTCGTCGGGAAAGAGGGCGAAAGGGGCAAAACATCACTTCGCAACCTGCAAGTCTACTCGAACCTCAACCGCGCAGGCTTCAACGTCGTCAGAGTACCTCCGCCAACCTCAGATCCAACCGCCTCAGCAGCTATGGCAGAGGAGCAACAGCCCCTGTGGCAGCGGCTCTTCGCCCTGCTCCTCCCCGACCGAGAACCTACCCACCCCGCCTACGGCCCGCTCGTACGCCCAGGCCTCTACAGGTCATACAGCTCAATATACAAACAGATCGCCATCGCGCCACGGTACAAGCCAACCGCACACCCACCTACGTCACCCTCAGAAACGCAACACAGCCCCTTCCGCGTGCAGTTCCACGTCTGGAAGCCCAGCGTCCAGAACTGGTCCAAGACCAAGCAGCCCCCGCCCGAGTACTACCTCGCCGTCGTCGACGCGCACGAGACTTCGGTTCCGACCTCGGAGGAGGTCTCGGCCCTGTTGGACTCTGTGCCGCACGCGCCGCCGCCGCCGCCGCCGCAACGGCAGGGCCAGGCCCCGTTTATGATGCACAGGAGGCTGAAGCACGGGCACCGCAACGTGCTGGTCGCGGTGAACGACCACGGAGTAATCAACTACATGCGCTTCGGCGAGGGCGCGTTCGGCGAGGAGCTGCTGTACAAGCAGTATGATGTGCGTTCGGCGCCCCGGGGCGGGAAAAGAGGCGGTGGCCGCGGAAGAGGTGGAAGAGGAGGTAGAGGAGGCCGGGGCGGAAGAGGTGGATGAGTCACACGTAGTCGTTCCTGGTTCAGCACGACATTCACGCGTAAGGTCATTATGGACACAGCCATAACGGGCAGAATCATGTGCCCTAGGATGTCACTGGCCACATGCTCGATTTTTTGTCACTCGACCACTGCGCTCTGAAAGTGCAGCTTGGGGCAGTCCTATGGCTTATCACACATTCTCTGTGATCACATTGCTTTGGATGTGGCTACCCATCTTTTTGGACCTTACGCTCCGTTGGTCACTGCCTCCATCTGATCACTGTCCCCGCCTGAACGCGTGAGTGAGTCTCTATTACGACACCGAAGGGGTTCACAGAATCTCGTTTCTCAAGAAGCCAGCTCAGTGGAGGCTTTCATCCAGACACTGGAAACCGACCATAATACCTGGGTCAACGAGTGTTGCCTCTTCCGCCGCGGGACGGCGGCGCTGTTCTGTGCGATCTGGCTCATTGCAGCCTACTTGATGGGGCGGAGTGCATGCTTGTACTGCCTGCAGGATGGGGTCCGTTTGGTGGGAGCAACTGGCAGCCATTGCGGCCTCAAGGATGTATTGCTCGGGGCAGACAACGATGGTAGGGCCACTGCCTGATGGTTCCATTCTTTGATTCGTACCAGGTCACATGGGACAGGGCTTTTTGGGACGGGGATGAGATAGCCTCGCCTGCACGAACAGATACTACCGAGTCTAGCCACATGAAAAAAAAGTACGTGTGTCTTAGCGCACAAGCGTGTCCTCCTGGAAGATTCCGTTGGAAACCATGCAGAGCGGTAATGCATGGCTTCAAAAGCATACCGGCTGAAAAGGTACATGTCACAGTCTGGAATTTATCCGTGGCAAAGAACACCACGACGAGTGGACACGTACGCAATGTGCTGAGATATAACGCAACTTCAAGTTTTAGTTTGAAGCTATGAGTAGGCCATGAAGTGCAAGCCTGTCCACCACCTGCTGAATGCTCACTAGTCTGAAATCCTTTTTGAGCTGGCAACTTTTTAGATGTATTACTGATCTGATGTGATTTTTGCGCAATCTCTGTTATTTTGACTTCAGCGAGCAGGTGAACAGAGAGAACAAGCAACAAGAGCCTTGGTAGGCCAAAATCTCCGATCATAGTGGGGCCGGCCTGCCTGCCTGCCTGGTGGCACACACAACCTTGAACCTTGAAAGCCTCCCCAAGCCGAATACCGAAATCGAAGATGCAATTTAAAATCCAATTCGACCAAAACATCTAGTTTTGTGCATGGAATTGTATTGTTGTGTGTTGCCTCTCTCGAACCCAATCAAATAAGAAAAGCTGGTCAAGGTCAAAGTCAAATCTCCATTTCTTGCAGCCGCGTGTAAGTGGGTGGCCTGGCGTGTGGTTACTCTGTAAGCCTGACACTGCATGCCACAGGCTGTGGGCGGGTGGGTTTTCACAGCCTTCAATCGCGCCAACCATATCTTTGATCCTTACCACAGTACAGTGGAGAACTCTGATTACCTAGTGGCTGCACTACCTCGGAACCAACAGCCCTCAGCAAGTCGAGCAAGTCAATCACAAATCACACGTACTTGGGTCCAAGCGGTGTCACCAGCTGCAGCAAGTAGTGAGACAAGCAGAGTCACAATGGGCTACTGTAGCAATTCAGAATTTTGCCTAGGTGCATCAAGTACATGTCCATGTCTCTGGCCGTGTCTGGCAGTTCTGGTTAGATTTGAAACCAGCGTGCTGATTGCAATATGATTAGTGCCCCACAAGTGGGAAGACCCAGCCAATGGTTCCGAGGGCCAGTGTCCGGCTTGGGCAAGAGCGAGCCTCTGGGGGGATGGGGGGAATTGCCAGAGCTGGCGGTGTCACCCACCAGCGTCCAAGATTTGCTGCAATGTCTGCTAGTGTCTTGCCTGCTTGCTTGATCCCAGCCGAGATCCATTCATTCATGACCCATGACACCCAAGATCTGATCAGATACCAAGGCCAAGACCCAAGGTTCAGGTTCCGAGCCTGGAGGTGGCCTGGAACCACTGGAACCACAGGATGCCCTCACTCAATCCCATTGTGTGAAAGCACTGCTCCAGGTTTGAACCATGCATTGTGTCTATCTATCGAACCTTATTGCCTCGAGACAGCTGTGGAAGCTGTATATTGGCCTTCGATACCTTGTCATCGATGTCCAATCAGTCCGCCAATAGAAAGACAAGGCAACCACCCTCACATGTTGCCTACCCAGCTCTCTGATGTTTACTGGGTCAACTGGGTCAATCACGTCAACACACTGACTGGCCCAGTGCGTCTGCCACCCACATATTTGCCATGACACAATGTATTATTCATCTGTGCTGAATGAAGTCTGAATGAAGTATTCTACCGTGACTGCGAGATTCCTGTCTTGATAGCTCCAGCAACTAGCGCCAGAGAAGGAGCTGCAGTAGATGCCCTAGGAGCCCCGAAAAAAAAACCTCCCGACGCTAAAAGTGTGCCTATGAAACAGCTGAGTAACACAATATTTGCTTCTCAAAGTTCCACCATGCCGCGGCAAAAAGACCCCTCGTCAAAACTCACTTTACTTGCTCGTCGTAGTTTCCGGCACACCTCGCAGTACCAACACCACCCTCTACCCCCCTGGCCCCTTAGTTCTCTCTCTTTCCATCAATTGTCCTCCCAGATATCCCCTCCTCTTCTATTCCACTTTCTTATTTCAATTCACAATCCAATTGACTGTCGCCCGCACCAGCTTAATCCACCCCGCACAACAAGCAGAGCTCTGCCCACCCTCGTTGCTTTCTGACTCTGCTCGGCAACCCAGGCCATCGAAACCCACCCACACCACCCACCCCGTCTACTTATTCCTCTTCAGCCTCCACACCCTCCATCAACACGCCTCTTTTCAGGCTCCCGCAAGTCATCGCGCCACACCACTGACTGTCTGAGCACCTGACCAAATTGTGTTGAGCACTGCAAATTCAGTATGGATTCGGACAACTCCTCTATTGAGGCGCCTAAGAGCCCTCCTGTGGACAGGTCCCCGGCCACAGAACAGACAC